TGTTTTGAGACTTGCTTCTCATTATAAAATCTGCTAGCAGCATTTGTCCGTCATGTTGATAGGAACATTTTGTTTAAGTCAGTTTGAGGCCAATGTTTAGGCCTGCAGTTAGAGCAGAATGTCAAGTCTGGCCAGTTTTACATAAATGCCATTTGTGATGAGCATGTTCATGATTGATGCTTGTCAACTGTTAGAACACATATTTCTTGCTGAATATTATGCATCTGTCTTGTGAAGCATGATTGAATCTTATCATTGAATTGCTTGCTAGTACCATAGCTTGCATTACTTTGCATTTTTCTGTCAAACTATACCATGTTTTCTCTGTGCTGCCATGACTTAGCAGTCCCCTAGGTCTTCAATATTTTGCTGACAATGTGGTTTAGTAGTTCCTAGGTGTTGATCCATTTTGTGTTCAAACTCTTGGTATGTTGGAATTGATCCATTTGAGAGTTTTGTATGTGTGCTTACTTTTGTAAAAGTATGACTATTGAAGTTCCATGTGTAGGTTGTTAAAACAATTTTTGAATGATACATCATAACTGTTTTCCCTTTTAACATCATTTCAACATTTTGCAGCATAATAGTCATGCTTTGATGTAGTAAGAGTTTGAACTATGTCTTTGGATGAATCTCACTATCAAACTATTTAGAGTTTGTGCAGACCCTCCTTTGTTTGCAAACACATCTGTTTTGATCCATGATTTCAAAAATGCTCCTTAAAAGCCTCACTTGCACTTCCATTCGTATTTTGAATTGTGTTCATTGTTTGAGAAAACTAACAGTACCATCTTTTTCCTTGTGAAAAATTGAGTGAGATAGATTTTTATTTCATCAAATTTGGTGGAGTTTTGAGGAAGTTGTGATCAAAACGTATTTCATGAATTTTGCCTTGGCTTACCTTGTTCTTGCCTTGTATTTGGTCCAGCCCATGCGCTTGTTTTGGTATGTATGCACATGGGGTGGCTTGATACAACGGATGTATCACCACCCCAGTGGTTATCACCTTGCCCTTAAGAACTTGTCATGCCTTTGAAACCTCATTCGACCCCAGCGTGGGCGTTTTTTTGTTTATTTTCATGATTTTCTTTGTTTTAATAATTTAGCTTACTTTTTCCCTATTGTTCACACGCGTGAGTTAGTTGGAATGGTATTGTTTTCAGCTTGCAACCCTAAGGTCTTGGGTTAAAGCCTTGGGGGGTACTTTCTTGTTTTTCTTGCATTTTGTTTGTTTCATTTTCTTTTATTTTTGTTTATTTCTTATTTAACTTTTACTTTATTTTAAAAAAAGTTTTAAATATCAAAAATCCAAAAAAATATAATTTTATTATTTCAATGTGCTATTTTATTTTCCATCCTTTTTATTTTATTTTATTTTATTTTCCATTTTATCATTTTATTTTATTTCATCAATTTCTTTTCTTTTTTATTTCACTTGTGATTGATTTATTTGGTGTTTACTTGGCCTTGTGCCATGATCCCCCTAGGATTCCTAGTCCCTCCGTTTAGGATGGGAGTAGGAGAGACATTAGGTGTTCAATCCTTTGCATGACAACATTAGGTTAGTTCTTCCCTCTCATCCCAACTATAGGAGCATTGTGCATGACAACTTTAGGGTCCAGTTTCCCCTTAGTTTGAGTCTTTCTCTTCTCATCTCCTAAAAAATTCAAAACACTTAATAAAGGATAATTTGTGTCGTACGCTACGAGCCTTAAGTATTTGAGAAATGATGGTTGGGGGGTCTCCTCTCAACTATCTAGAGTTTTTAGCGTATGCCCTTTGGGCGATATGCGACGCATTCGCTCTCAAGTCATAGTCTTTAGTGCGACATGAGTTTCAAACCATAACTCAATCCACTTCTTGTCTTAAAAAAAACAAAAACAAAAACATCAAAGCTTTTTATCCCTCGGGATCTTAATTGGAAAACCATTTTCAGAAAGAGTTTTGTTAAGCTTTGGTTCTACCGCAAACAGGCATCGTCCCTAACTGCTGGAACCACTGTTTAACCCTACTCGGTTTAAAACACTTGAACCAACCTGTGGTCGTATCAGCCCGAACTACGTTTGCTCTGATTTCTCGTACCAGACGAGGATACATAGGCACAAGACGGAGATGTCTTGGTGAGCAACCTCCCCCCACTCTCACCCGTAGTTTTTCGAACTACGTTGACTCTGACTTTCCTATTGCACGAGAGAATACGTAGGCATAGAGCGGTGATGCTTTATCGAGTATATTTTCTTTTCTTTTGTCCTTGAGTCGTAGCTTAGATAGCTTAACACCCTTATAGACTAGACAACAAGCATGGATCCCGTCGAGTACGACGGACGTGAGGGGTGCTAATACCTTCCCCTCGCGTAACCGGCTCCTGGACCCGAGATTTGGTTGCGATGACCTGTCTTATTCCCTTTTTGTAGGTTTTCTCTGATCGTTTCATTTCCCTCTCTTTGGGATAAATAACAAACAGTGGCGACTCTTCTGTCATTGTCTGCTCCTCTTCGCAGCAATGCGACAAGTACCAAGGTGATACAAGAGTGGCTCACAAACAACAATGAACAAAAAAAAAACCTGACAATCACTCTCACATTTGCATCTCTTTCTTTCTTTAGGTTTAGAGTCTTCTTATAAATAGCCTTCGAAAAGCATGGGCTTGATGAGCAAATCGGGCTAAATTGAATAGCAAATCCATAATAATTTGGAAGAGAATATATTATTAAATGCAGATCCATAATATTCTGGAAGAGAATACATTATTTCCTTAAATGCAGGTCCAACTACAACTGCTGCACAATCTTCTACAAAATCAAATCAAGTCTAATATTTCCTTAAATGTTTTGACAGTCATTCTTAGAAAATATTGCACAGCTGAAACCGAACTTTGAGCTTATATAAACACACACTTCTTGGACTGTAATATACTATAATCAGATCTTCAAAGAATCTTCAGAGATCTCAAGCTTAAAAACAAATCTTCGAAGAATGTGAAACAAGATATGCTTTAGTATCGCAACATGTTATGACGTCTTGTACAACATCTTGCTAGAATACTTGTTTTAACAAAATGTAGCCAACGATAAAGCAAACAACCTAACATACTCGAATCATGAAACTCAAACATCTTTCTAAAATAACCATAATTTGAATCATGTTTTTGCTTGACTCAATCATGAACCTCAATCATGATTCAATTAAAAATGAAAACCTCCTCATTTTACTACATTGATTAAAGTCATTCTTTCTTTTGTTTCAAATCATAACCTCGTAATTTAACTTGAATCTTTTTTTCTTTTCTTTATCTTTTTTGTGTCTAACCTCTAGTTTCTATATAAATTTTTTAAGTATCTTTTTTCAAAAGAGTTGATTCATTTGTTAATTGACATGAGTATACTAGTTCTATAAAAGAGGGATCATTAGTGTATGTATTCTTTTAATAGCATTGTTATGTTGACACCCTTTTCTACACTCAATTTACTGTTCACAAATACTTGAATAAATTTCTCAGAACATGGTTAATAGTGTGTATTTTATTGGTTAATGAAGTAGTGAAAGTGGTTAATAAATTATAAGTAAAATAATCGGCTAACGATGTAGATTTTTGTGGTTAATGCAACTGTGAAGTTGGTTAATGCGCAATCTTATATTTGTGTTATAAAATAAATTTTAAAAATAAATATTTTAAAAAATATATATTATTTTAATAAAAAAACACTGTTCACCTTATAAATACGATGAACCGTGCATACGGTGTAAATATTAGGTGTAAAAAAGGGTGTAAGAATAGCATTTTTCTTCTTTTAAAGACAAACGAACATATATATATATATATATATATATATATATATATATATATATATATATATATATATATATATATATATATATATATATATATATATATATATATATATATATATATATATATATATATATATATATATATATATATATATATATATATATATATATATATATATATATATATATATATATATATATATATATATATATATATATATATATATATATATATATATATATATATATATGAATAAGGGCACTACGACTAAAGTAGACGGAACCCTGGAAGAAAGATACAAGAAGTATCAAATTCGAAACCAAAACCAACAAAGAAGAGATAAACAACAAGAAAAATCAATCCAACCATAAAAAGTAGCAACAAACAAAATTATAAAAATAAAATGTACACAACCATCAACATTTGTCAAATCTAGAACTCTCCGAACTGAGACACCTATTAAAGCACCAAAACCACAAAAGAGACATAAAATTTTGGAAAATTATATTTTAACTTTCTATTGTATTCAATATCAATATTAACAATGCACTTGTTATTTTAGGCATATTAATTACACAATTATATAAAAAAATATTTTATGAAAAAAAATATTTAAACTAATATTTTATTAAAAATTTTGTATAAAATTGTTTTAACATAAATATGTTATACCATAGAAAACTTTTTTAAAATACTAAATCACACCAACTTTATAATTATAATTTTATTTATAACTCTTTTGATTTGAACCCTCCAATTTAATAAAAATGAGTTATGGTAATTTAGAGATAGATGATTTTTTACATATTGAGATAGCATGGAGGAATATTTTTGTTTTTTACAATAAAACTTTTTATTTTTAAAAAATTACTTGTCATTGCTTAAATAAAAAGAAAAAGAAAAAAAAAACTCATAAGAGAAACTATATTTATCATTTTCTTTTCGTTATACAAATATGTCAATATTTAAAATTTTATAAAAAAAACCATATTAAAGAAAACATAGATAATATATTAAACAATAAATTAATCAATTTAAGTAAATGAGTGTTGCTAACGAGTTCCTAGAGTTATTCTTTAAGAACTCTAAATAAAAAATATATATATTTAATTATTTCAATTTTTAAAAAAATTAAATACATATATTTTCAATTTTTAACACTTTCCCTTAAGAAATTACATAAACCATACACATATGCATGATTTTATTAATCTTCCTCCTCTGGAAGCCTATCCGTTGCTAAAAATGCAATTTTACTAATCAACTTCATCTTTCTATTTAGATCAGAAATGGCAGGAATGCTAATTTTTTCCCTATCCAATTCAGCGTCACAAGCTACAGCACCATCAGCAGCAAGTTTAGCATCATAGTTTGATGTTAGTGTATCAGAATACAATTCACGTGTTGAACTTTTGAATGATCCAACAATCTCATCATAATGTATAGTTGCGCAGTTTTTAACTGCGACTGTCGGGTTTGTTTTCACCATTTCCTTTAGGGAATTCTGAGCTTCGGTTCCCTCTTTGATTGCGAACTTGAGGACGAGTTTGCATAGCTCCATGTCGGTGTTCGCCGAGGCGATTTGTGGCACGGCTTTCAGAACTTCGAGGCATTGGGCGCTGTCTTCGGCCGCGGCTAAGCAAACGTCTTCATATAACGCAGCGGATGCTTGGGAAATGAAGATTAGGGAAAGTGTGAACAACAACAAAGAAGAAAAAAGTTTTGATGGATTCATTTTTTTCCTTCTTTGTTGTTGCTGTGGAGAATCAAGGTGAATTCTAAGTCCTTTATAATGTTAATACTAATTTTAAAATAGTAATTTTATGTTGGAGGATATATATTTTTAGTACATAATGATTGATTTAGGTGTATTGATGTAACATCTTTACTATTTTTATATATGAAGTTATTTTAATTTTAGCAACAAATTGTTAAAGATGAGAAAAAAGAGTTGTCATTTTAAATTTCTTTGATTGTAAGTAGGAATGCTGTATCAAATCCTTAATTATTTTATAAGCATTTATTATAACCGGATATCATAACCCGGTTTTATTTTGACAAAATTAGTTATAAAACTGATCCATAACCAAGTTTTTTAACTGGTTATGCGTTTTAAAATCGGTTTTAAAATTTATAACCGGTTTTTAAGTTAAAATTAGTTTTGTAAAAAAAATCTGTTTTTAAAATTGAATATTAATTTTTTAAGATTATTTTTTCAATTAAATACCAATTTTAAATATAAATCTTCAATTTTTTAAAATCTATTTTATTCATGAAAATGACTGTTTTCTCCATAATTACGTACAAAATAATTTTTATATCTCTCTAACAGAATACTTCATACTATTAGTAATAAATGATAACAAACTAGTTGTAAAGCAAATATGAATAATTTATTATATTGATCATTTAATTTTATGAAGAGATTAAATAAAAGTGGATTGTGCAAACCTGTAACACTGTTGTCTTTATTTTATATTAAACACTTATCAAATGAGAGTGGCTATTGTGCTAACCTGCAACACTGTTCTTTGCCAAAAACGGAGTTGGCTATTTTAATACAAATAAGTGAAAATATTAATTTATATTGAAATCTTTTAACAAATCTACGCACATGCTAACGCACAGATTCATGTTAAAAAATATCAGTAGATTAGTGAGAGTTAAAAACATTGGTAAACAAATTTACGTTCACTTAAATTATTGAATTAAGATTATCCATTTTTATTATACCAAACATTAGGATCAAAATAGAAACTCGAACACACACTAATGCATAAATTATACACTCATTCATATATATATATATATGGATAATTTATATTAAAGGTTAATTTGAGCACTAATGTGTTCTGATGAAAGCATTTATACTAAAATAAACAATATAATATGCAAAACAGAAAATCATTTACATCTAATTGTTACCAAAATATCATGGATAAGAGAATTCAAACAAAATCTAAATGCATCAATAGCATGGAAAAAAAACATTTTAACAAAACCTAAAACCTAGTTTGATGATAACTTTTTCAAAATGGATAAAATGTTATTTACAAAGAATAAAGTCAACTAAAGATGCAATGCAAAGTTTTATGTTTTAATTAAGGTAAGTTGGACTCCGGAGCAAGTTTCAAGACTTAAAAAATCGCTTACAAAGTTACCTACAGATTACTCACTAAAAATATCCTCAAATAGTCACAGCGGAAACTCAAGAAACTCATCAAAGTGAGCTTACAGAGCTACTCAGAGATTATCCACCAAAGATCCTCACGTCGGCAGCGAAAATTGACCCACCTAATCTTTGTTGGCTATGCAAAGATTATTAAGTAAAAATAACAAGACAATAGAACAAACACATTCCTATACTTTTCCACAAGAGCCAAGATTACTAAAAAAAATGTCAAATAAGTTTTTCTACTTAATGCCTCAATCAATTTAATTCACATTCCTATAATGGTAAACTCTGATGAAGAAAGTGTTTTCTATTCCAACTTTTTTATAGATATAAGTAAAACCATATCACCTAAAGTTGATATGTTGTGCAAACATCCAAAAAAAAACCGAAATCATTGACGCGAAGAAACATAGCTTCTAGTTTCAGTTACATTTGAATTGGCAAGTACATCGGGCGCAATTTCCCAGCTTTCACTTCTTCTCCGACTTGAGTGCCTTTCGTCGGATCGAACTGTTGGAGCTCGACGATCTGAGCCCAAAACCGAATCACCTTCAGAAGTATTATGGTAAGGTCCATTGCTCCCTCTACTCCGAATTTCTTCATCAAATCCTTCAATATTCCGGCGCTGAGATATCTTCAATAGGTCTTCACCGATGTCTAGATCATCTTCAACCTTAGAACGATGATCTCCTCTCGTATCTGATTCTGGTTCCTGGGTAGCAACATGAGGAGGTGGCCTCTGTACCTCTTCTTGAACAAAAGCTCGGAAGTTGTTTTTCGAAGGCTGCACTTTTGTACAAAAGACTTCGCGAAAATTATTTATACACCCCCGATTGTAAACATTCATCCTGCTATCTGCTCTGTATCGGAAGTTTTCATAGGTGGTCTGTAAAACAAAGATTAATCACCTGGATGAAGATATTCTTCAAACACAATATCATTTAAGAATCAATACAAATTTAAAGAAAACCCAACCAGTATTATCATATAACATATGTAGTTGTAGAACCTATCTTTTCGAAAAAATGTGGCCATTTAAGAAAAATACCTGGGTACAGATGATTAGGCTTAAACTATCTTATGAGTTCGGATTGAGAAGAAAATAGAGAATAACCAACCCTAAAACACCAATTTATTTTTTGAAAACTCCGTATCCGGCCCGAGGACCGACTAATCCGAGGGAGACCAATCTCATCGACCACTTGCAGGGGTCCCATTTAAAACCAGAGCAAATTTAAAGCAAACTAACCCAACACAGGAATTGTTAGCACCTAGCGGGATTCAAACGGGATTCAAACATGAGACTTTAAAAAGAGCACACTCTTAGAACCCAAGCCTCACGAACTGGCCAATCCAAAGGTTCCCTAAAGCACCATTTGTTTGGATGAAAGGAAAGGCGTGAGGGATGAAAAATACATCAAATATATTTTAAAAAATCTTCTCAAATTCCAAGAGCCTAATGTTTCATCACATTAAAAGACATCGAGTATACTTGTACCAGGCTTACTTCAGCATTATGTCCATGTCTACTTCACTACTGTCTTTTCATCATACGAATTTTTATCATTAGTGGTTTCAAAACTAATTCAATTTGAGAAAAATTCTACTATATGTCATTTATTGCAATGTTACGCGCTTAGTTCTGCAAGCTCGATGAACAAAGAGATAAACCGTAAACATTTTATTGGATTCAGTAATTTAAAAGAAATCAACGGACCTGGTTTGTACCAATAAGGTACAAATGAAAGCCAGTTAGTCCACCAACAAACCACAGCGCGATGAAACAATATGCCATTAATATAACAGATGCAGGGGATTCCTTCATTGCCTTCCACACCGTCCCATGATTATGATCCATCAGAACCTTGATGTAAAAAGCTGAGAATGAAAACACATAGATGCATAGAAGAGTTGCCGAAGAAACAAACATAAAGAAGTAACGGTAGTTCCTCTGCACATTGGAAAAACCAAATATAAATAAATATAAAAATAACAAGAAAGCAAACATGTAGTGAGCCAAGAACAACAGTATGGAAAAAAACAAGTATCATAAAATCAATAACATGGTGGATATCAGCTATCATACCAGTCCAATGCATTGCCCAACCCAAGGGCAGTGATGATCAAAACGTTGAACACAATTGTTGCAGATGGAACAATGTGAGCAACGAGGAGGACGATACAGCATACAGGTATCGCAATACTTCACCCTTACAGGAAGGCCATTGACCATTACCTCCTTTGTTCGAGGGAACTGAAGGCTTGGTGTTTGCCGCCCCCCGATGTCAATAGAAACTGACGACGAGTCATAACGGAAATCTTCCTCAGGCGGATGTAAATTCCTTGGAATAATGCCCGGATCGCGTGCAGAAGTAAGAAAGAGAAGTATCAACACCTATAAACATAAATCATAGGGTTAAATTGCATCAAACTCCAGGAAAGATCTTCAAATTTGATACCCATCTTAGAAAGAATAACAAGGGACAGTGTAAGCAAGCACACTCCGTCTGCTGAATCTAAAACATATGAGCATTAAAGTTTTCCATGTGGTATCATTTCTTCTAAGTATCAGAACAAAGGTTTTTAATTACATTAAAGTTTGTTTCACCAAATAAAAATTTCTTCTAGTGGAAAGTGATATTTAGATAGCATCATGATGAAACAAAATATTGAGCTCACAAATACTGCAAAAGAATGGAAAAAAATGAGCTGGCAAAAAGCCAGAAAGGAAAAACAGTTAAATATTCAATAGATTCACACAATAACTCAGGACACCGAGTACTAGTCATGCATAAAGATCTAAATCTTTCTGATTCATCAATAAATATCAAATATATTTACATCAACTAGTTTAGAACAGTCATTTAGTGATTTTTTATTAGGTGAGTAGTGATCAGTAGCTTAGATAACTACTTAAATGATTATAAGTCAATCAAAAAGGAGCAAAAAATGCTAACAGCCTAACAAAAGTTATCTCTCATTCTCCCTTTCAATACCATACCAAAGTTGTATTATTCTCCATGAACAGAACAGTGTTTTTCTGCCGAAGAGTTTCTGAATCTCCTTTGATTTGTCATATCTTCACTGTTTAAGTTTCTGGTAGCTTTCTTCACTTTCCTAAGCACCAGTAATGACCACAGTCAGCAGTTTATTCTCCTTTTCAATCCTTGGTTGTGTCCATATTGCATATTCATAGGGTGCGTTTTCTTGGGATTTTAAGCCTCAACGCTTGCAGCTGTTCCTCTCTAGAAGCAATATTGTGTTTGTGTTACTGTTTGTGACCCAAGAAAACCTTAATTTCTCCAGAAGTGCTACCTTCCAGTGTTATTTTCCATATTTAGCCTTTTATCTAATTTTTTCACAAATATGGTGTTTTTCCTTTTAAACTATTCTCTTAGACCTAAATCTGCTTAGTTAGTTCTTTGTTTCCTAGCTGTTATTGGTGCCTCAGATGGATCTCCATTCTTAGATCAGCCAACTATCAAACACCCAAAATCATAGGAGCCTCCATGTAGTAAAATCTAAGAATGTGTGGTTGGGCCTAATTGAACCTTACAAAGCCGGCTTGTAAGGTGAGGGATGCTCATGCTTTATAAACACTAAACAGGCCATATCTCTAAGCAATGCAGGACTAAATCCACCCCTTCAAACCCAGCATAATATAGGTGTTGGAGGCTGCAATGAAGGCACGTCAAATGCCACAATTAGGCAACTAGGGGCGGACCGCAATAAAGGCGGAGGAAATTCCAACACACACCCTCACGCTCAGGCCTCAATGAGCCTGAAGCATGTACTATGCGGGAAGCCCAACAACGGGTCTTGGATAGGCTATGATACCATCTTAGAATGTGTGGTTGGGCCTTGCTCAACTTTACAAAACCAACTTATAAGGTGAGGGCTGCTCAAGCCTTATAAACAATGTGGGACTAAATCCACCCTTTCATACCCAACACAATATAGGTGTTGGAGCCTGCAACGAAGGCAGGCCAAAAGCCACAATTAGGCAACTAGGGGTGGACCGTAATAAAGGCGGAAATTCCAACAGTAGGGGTGGACTCTCTGTCTTGTGTGGCCTACACAAGGTCATGTGACCAACCTTTTTAGGCAGCAATTTCTATTTAATTAACTGGTTTAATAATGTTTTGGTACTTCCACAACTCCATGGGGCAGGTTGGCTGTGGAACTACAACATCTTATATATATGGAGCTACTGCTATTAAGGCATATATTCACCTTATATTTTGCTGCTTCTGGCTTGTATATGGTCTATTTGGTCATTTGAGGGTTTTGGAAGTCTATGTCTATATTTTAATATATATTCAAGTTTTTTAAAAAATACCTTGATATATGATAATAATCATATAACAATTCAATCACACTACACTCACTGTTATAAACATTTTATAGCTTGGCTTGGGAGGAAATACAGAATATCAACCTTTGGAGGAGATGCTAGAGATGGCCAATCCTAGGCACCGTCACTACCTTATATAGGGATGCTCATACGCAAACAAGCTTATGCAAGGCTCTCATGCAAAAGCCCTATATGATATAACGCCCAAGCCCATAATAATAGAGAAACCAAGGGTTTGGTCATGGAGGCTTTGATACCATGAACAAGTAGATTTTAGGAAGAAATCATATTTCCTTTTCAAGAATCAACTAAAATTATTAAAGCTAAAAGTACCCTAATCAACAATACTATAATAGTAAACAATCATCACAGTTAGATTTAGAAGATTACAATTAATGTAGAATATTTACAACTAACCACATTAAATACTAACAAATATTAACACTTAAGTTAGAGCATTAACATACATGTTTCAGGTACGCATGAGTATTAAAACATCAAATGACAGAAAGAAAAAACTTCATAAACCTTACATAAATATTGAAGATAACTGCCACCACCAAAATAGCATATCCTGCATTATATGAAGAAAATCCATGCCGAAGATGTCTTGCTACAAATATGCAAAAGATGATAACTGGAACTATGACCAGCACCAAACTGATAAGCAATGACTTAGCGTCAGGCCCAAATATCAACCTTCCTCCAAACAGGAATTTCTGCATGATAGTATAAGAAGTTTTGAAGTGAAATAAGTTAAGACTTATATATGACAGATAGTAGTTCATTAAAAAGTAAAAATTCTTAAATTTGTCAGAAGACAGAAGCATGTCATTACAGGAATATAAGAAAATAATAACATGAAAAATAGTTTTTTGATGAAATAATAGGGACAGAAAAAAGAGAATAGAGATTCATAATAAGAGAGTATTGGACTGATAACCGAACGATCCAACTTATAAAAATAATTAGGTTACGTGATAGAAAAATATCATTTCAAGCCCAAACCAATAAAATAATAAATTTACCAACCCCAATAAAATAAGGTAACAAACCAGCAAACATAATAAATAAAGTGTGTTAACAATTCGAATATTGCTTGTATAACTAGATAAACAATTCGCTCCACGGTATATTCTGATTTTGACATACTTAAATTCTGAAGATATTTTAACATACTTAAAAAGCATGGTAGATATTCCAAGATATTTGTTTATATTCTTGACACTTAAAACAGACAGCCAAAAAATATTAATATTTTCCATTTACCGTTACTTTACTGAAAGAGAACTTGAATTAATTTCTTCATAAAAAATATTACTTTGAAAAAGAGAGTACACCAAGTGGATGATAAGGAACCTTCTTTACCTAAACAGAAACAATATAATGAGCTGAACTGGCTTATAAATGCAATATACAGTTCATTCACTTAACATATACGAAATAGATGATGCCTTGAAGCAATCATGACCCAGTCCCACAGCATATAAATAGTATTACCTATCATGACTCATGAGTCATGAATCATGATATTCATTAACTTTCTTAAATCCATAAGCCAAAAGTAAACTAGCAACTTGACCATATGGTTATCAAAACAAGAAATTACTGTTTAATATAACTTCATTACTCATTTGTCAATGAGAAAAAGCAGCTCTCCCAGTTGAGTGTAATGTTTCAAATTAACTACAGGGCTAATGTACTGCTTCCAGTGTTGCCGATGGCGGATGGCGGTCCATGGCGGAGAGCAAAAATTCCACCATACTGGCAGCTTTGCAGCGCCATTATAGCACGGAAGATGGAGGAAAAACCCACAATATCAGCCAACATTTACCATTGGGCGAGCCCAAAAACCGCCATGTATATCCGCCATAGCGGCCATGGTGCTGCTTCAAACATTTTTTGCTAAGACCAAAAAAAGAAGAAAACCAGCAGAAGACCAATAATCTACCAGGGATAGTATCGATTCAAATAATAAAAATAATATATCATCCAACCAACTCTTACAAAGAACCGCTATCAAGACTATCAGTATAGGGCCAAAGTCAGGATTGCACACAAAAACAGACACACAGATCCTAAGTTCAGAAATTAAACTCCCTGTTAAAGTTTTTCCTACATCACTCCCAATTTGAACTTTCAACCAACAACCAGAAGTGTTAGAAGTCAAAACCCATAATTAGCCTACAGCAATAGAGTTCAAACAAACTACTTGTTCAGAGTTGCACAATTCTGAAAGCATATAATCTCACTCCACCAACTCAACACATCAATTCCATACTAAAAGACAAAACTACTTGGCATAGTAGAAAACCAACTGCAGCCATGACAAATGATATAACAGGTAGATGGTATCAATAGTCATATTATATTCTTCACACCAATAAACACAGCAACAGTTACATAAGACAGTTTTTTCAATAATGGCAATTGTTGGGTTTGAAATTTGCAGGCTTAGGTTTTTTTAAAAGGAGAACAAAGTTGAATAAAAATAGTGCCTACTAAGGAAGAAAAAAATGACGAATGTGTGTATTTGACATGAATGAATACCTGAACCCTTTTTCCAGTGAAATTCACTACCTGAAGAGAAAAGGAGGATGCATTACCATATTTTAACTATATGTTCTTACCATGTTATTGCAATTACAATTACCCTATTTCAATTACAATTGTAATCTACACTTTACTTTCTGAGAACCCACATTAAGTAGCATAATCACAGTGAATTTTTCAAAAATAGAACGACTACATAGATTCAGTCGTAAATCCCTTTTCTTATAGTAATTCACTCTTTCCTTTATAATATTCTTATCACAATAGTGTCACAAAATGTAATAAGCTCTCTGCTTTACTCCAGTAAAAATGTATACACGCACTGTTGGGATTATTTGTGGTGTGAGTGTGTGTGTGTGTGTGTGTGTGTGTGTGTGTGTGTGTGTGTGTGTGTGTGTGTGTGTGTTACCCAATTTGGGTGTGCAGGGTTGGCTTTGACGTGGTGTCTTACAAATGAGAAGGTGAAGGACTATAGGGATATGATATGCATCAGGGTTTGACAACTTGGTGATAACCAAAATATCATGCTTTCTAATGCATGCTAAACTTGTCAATTTTTGTTTAAAATATTTAACTTAGCTGCTTCAGAGAATCACTTACTTGCTATGGGTCATTTCGAAAGGCACAAGTTAATTAAAATGTTGATACTTCGTTAAGAAAAAGTTTAAGATTTGAACTACGAGGTTTGATACAAACTAGTTCCTAAAAGCTCCTTGTTCAAATGGAAAAAATCTATAATAATGTATAGAAGATATCAACAATATCAAAAGTTAATATAGCAATTCAATCAAAAACATGTCATGAAACATATATAGTTTTACGTATCTCGAGTTATAATATTTATTATCTTTCTCAATTCCATAAGTGAAAAGTAAACATGCATCTTGAACAGATGGTTAAGTAAAACAAATAAATACTGTTAAAACTGTATGGCTTCATCACTCATTACCACGTGAAAATGCAGCTCTCTAAGTTGAGAATTATGCTTCAGATTAACTAAGGCAACACAATACTAGCGTATCGGTTCACACTTTTTTGCCTAGAACTAGGAAAGTAGAAAACCAGCCAAAGAACAATAATCTACCAGGGATAGTATAAATTCAAATAAAGACATTAGTTAATTATTCCAACCAACCAACGAAGCACGGACACCTCTAAGAGTGGGCGTGTCATAGTGTCCAACACGTATCAGTGTCCGACACTTCTATGACACCCGTACGACACGTGTCAGAAAAGTCATACAAGTGTCCAAAAAGTCAGACAAGTGTTTCATGAAAAATTGTTTTTTCTTTACTTCATATATCTTATACATTTCTTGGACAAATTTCACACACATCTTTGGTTAAACATATATTGAAGAAATGTTATCAGTGAAGATTAAAGACAAAAACTTTGATTAGAATATTATTAACTCTTCTAATAATAGATTGATAAATGAACCTCAAATACCATCATATATGTAGCGCTGTCAGTGTCCTATTATTTTTACATTATCTGAGTCGGAGTGTCCGTGTTTGTGTCGTGTTACAGTGTTCGTGTCAGAGTCTGGGCTTCATGGCAACCAACACTTACAGAGAACCGCTATCAACACTCTACAAGTTTATCAGCAAAGTCAAGATTCCTCACACAAACCGACAATACAATAGTTACAGAAGATGGTTGAAAAGCATAGTCTCACTTCCCCAGCTATACATACAAACACAGACAGATAACACACACAGAGTTCCAAAATTCTGAAGTTATACTCCAAGTTAAAGCTTTTCCCTCGTCACTTCTACTATGAACTTTCAAGCAAAAACAAGAACATCATTAGAAATCAAAACCACTCAATACCAAAAACAAACAAGGAAAAAAGGGTCAGACTATACATCTAAAAGCAGCTTATGACAATGACATTGTTGACAAGCTGCTTTCAACTTATTTTCATACAATAATAACCAAAAAAAATCAAACTTTAGAACCAGCTTATACATAACTTATTATAACGATAATTTGCTATAAGCTGCAAATAAGCCTTTTCTCCAAATAGGGTCTATATCAAGCAAATCACACTTTGAATTTCCCCAACTAACAAAACAAACAAACAAAATCTAGACCATATGCATAACCATAAAATCAAGCATTAAAAGCTAAATTTTTCAGAACCATCAAACAGATTAATAAAAATAATCAAAAAATTAAAATAAAATAAAATAAAAAAGAAGAAAGTTAGAACATTACATTACTTCCTTTCCATGCTTCATAAACGCGATTAGGTGCCATAAAGAAGCTTTGATGCAAAACTTCTTCTCACAACATGCAACTTCTTCTTCTCATTTCACCAACGCGCTTTTTCTCAGACACTATAAACAACCACACGAAACTGAACGGTAGCTCGATTCAACGCTTTAGGTCAAAATCTGAAACTTCACTATAGAAGAAAAACTCCGATTTGGGTTTTTCCGCTGAAAATGTGATTCAAGAGAGAGAAATTGGATTTAAATATGATGGGGAAAATTGGGTTTGAAATTCGCAGGTTTTTGGTTTTTTATTTGAGAAAATAAAAAGGAAAGTGAAATAAACAAATAAAATAGTGTTGAATGAAGAAAAAATCAAAACCTGAACCCTTTTACCACTGAATTTCTGAATTTCACTGTCTCAGAAAGAAATTGGAGAAGCGTTACCCTATTTATTTTTTAATTATTCTTTTTCTACATTATGCGTTACTCTATTTAATAGTAATTTTTTTTAATACTGATATTCATTATTTAGTTTTATTCTTAACTAACATCCAATAGACACTGAAGTGTCCGTTTGTCTGCTTTTTTTTAATACACATAAATAAAAATATAAACGATATTTTTTTAAAAAAATACAGTATATGAAAGTTAATAATAAGAAGTTAATTATAGAATGTTATTAAGTAAATTACACAATAAAGTGAGGATAAAAATGATACAAAAATAGGCTACACCAAAATAAAATATTTCTTTTATATATTGTATAGATTAGCCCGTCTAATTTTATTTATAAAAAAAGTATTTTTTTATTTTATTGAATTAAATAATCAATATATCTCGTTTATGATATGTTAGATATATTACTTATTCAATGAATTTAGATATATTACTTATTCAATGAATTTAAAAAGTTAATTTTTTTTCATAAATAAGATCGAAAGTAATAATATTATATTTTGACTTTTTATATTATTGAGTTTTTTCTTAGGGCATGTGTGACTTTTATAAGGTGTAGAATTGATTTAAATGTGTTTTCGAGATGTTTGGTTTTTCTTTTAAAATTGATTCTATTTAGGAATGACAATGGGTATCTATGAAGATGGTAATAGTCTTCTGCTACCTGTCCCATTTAATAAAAATGATATTCATATCCGTCTCATACTTGTGAGTATCCGTCAAGCGGGTATCCGTGGATTTTGAAATATCTGCGGATATTTATGGATACTCATGAATATATTTTTTTAATTGAAATTAATTTTTTATATTTTGAATAGAAAATTTATCTTTTTATAAATAGAAAATTATGCGTAAAACCTTTGAATACATTTATCATATTAAATTCAAAAGCATCTTAGAGTGAATATTGTTGTAGAAAGTGAGAAAATTTTAACATAATACATATTAATTTATCAAAACATCAAACAAAATTTTCAAGTAATTTAAGTATACTAATTTTAAAAAGACATTTAAGCAATTTTATTAATTATTAACATATACGGATACCAGCGAGTACGGGTACCATCAAATTCGTATTTGTGTTCGTAAAAGAAATGAATAACTAAGTATTCTGTTTATATTATTTCTGAATACCTATTAAACTATCCAAGTCATACACGTGACGGATTTTATCTGCGAATACCCACGGATATGGGGTTTTTTTCCATCGTAATTCTAATTAGATAGAATTTGTAATTTTGAATTTAAATGTAATTTTTATATTAAATTTGTTGTTCAACTCACTTGAATATAATTGCACTCAAACATAAATCACTTTATATTTATATCATTTTTAACTAAAATTAATTCTACAAAATCAACTTATTAATAATTAATTTTCGTCATCGTAAAACCAAACATACATTGAAATTGAAATCTGCTACATTAATAAATTATCGTTATAATAAAACTAAACATACACTAAGCGGAGTAGGTTATATTAATAAATTTTCGTCATAAGAATATTCTATTTGATATTTATGTTTTTCTCCAAATCTTTAATCTTTATAATTTTTCTAGATCGATATCTATCTCTAACTCTTTTAACACTTCTAGATTCATATTCTCTTTATACATGACGTATCTATCTTTTATATACATATCAAAATTACTTAAATTTATATTTAAATTTTATTATATCTAATTTATCACTCATCCAACACAACATCTTCATTTATGTTACACTAATTTTAATTTTGTATTAATTCTTATTCGTCTAACATTATATGATGGATAACATTGTAAGTTTTATCGCAATTCAATAAAAAAAATCAATTTTATTTTAATCAGTACTTTTATATTACATAAAAAAAACTCTAATATTATTTATATGAAAATTGAAAATCTAGAAGAAAAAAAAACTAAGATAAGAGACATAAGCATAATAAATAAATAAAAGCACAACAATTCTCTTTTTATGCTCTTTTATCATAAAATATTTAATATATGATAAGATAAATGTTAGGATCATACAAAAACTTACACAACCGTAAAAAAAAAAAAATATATATATATATATATATATATATATATATATATATATATATATATATATATATATATATATATATATATATATATATATATATATATATATATATATATATATATATATATATATATATATATATATATATATATATATATATATATATATATATATGGAACATATCAAATAAGAGTGATTTTAAATGAGAGATAAAAGTAACAAACAATAATCATTAGATCAAATTAATAAGAGAGATGAAATTCAAGTTAATAAGAGAGAGAAATTAATAGTCACATTAAAAAATAAGTTTAATCATGATCTAATGGTTGTTGTTTGTTACTCTCATCTCTCATTTTAAAATCCCTCTCACTTGATACGCCCCCTATATATATATATATATATATATATATATATATATATATATATATATATATATATATATATATATATATATATATATATATATATATATATATATATATATATATATATATATATATATATATATATATATATATATATATATATTCTTGTCTTGGATTTTATGCCACAGTTAAAATATTTTGAAAATATTACAGTATAGGGGTATTTAGTGTCAACTTGACACACCTCTTATCATAGTCGTCCCAAATTTTTGAGATGTCTTATGTAAGAAGTTTAGATTATCTTCAGTTGTATCTTGAAATTTTATTAAGAAATCTTATTAAACCATGAATTAACCATAAAATATGTGTATGAAGGCCCTTTATCCATAGTTTAATCACGAAAAAATATGACGCCCTGTACTATAGATTATCTTACACACTCCAAAGACGACTCTGCCTCTTATAATAAAGGTGATAACATAAACCATAAGATATTTTTATTGAATAACTATCAATTTTAGATGTATGAAATTATTATTTAAATGTGTAATATAGTTTTTTAATTGTTGATTTATAAGTATAATAAACTTAATAAATGTTGTTGTTATATGTTGAACTATTAACCAACAAATCACAGCCATTTAGCCAAACTCAAAAATACTAATTGAGTTATGTCACTCACCCATATAATATAATACTTAAATGTATAAAATAAATTTTATTAACTATTATGACCTTCTTCATATGACCTTCTTCAAGAATACTTGTCTTAAGCTCTGGCACATCTAGCACATATGACCTTCTTCAAGAATACTTGTCTTAAGCTCTGGCACATCTAGCACATAAACTCTATTGCAGAACCTCATAACCTCATTCTCATCAATTCTAAAATCTACCTCTTTAACATGATTGATCAACACCAACTGGTTCATCAATCCCAAGTCGACTTTTTGACCTTCTCTTATCTCTTCAAGAATACTACTAGTTAGCTACAGTATGTCCAACTTCACACTGTATGAGTCATCTCACACACCAAACTAAGAACTCGAAACTACTCAATCAAATCCAATTCTCGAACCATCAATGTCGACACAGGCAAGGACTTCCTACTTAAAGCATCTACTACAACATTGACTTTACTAGGATGGTAACTCAAACCAAAATCATATTCCTTCCGAAATTCAAGTCATATCATCTGCCTCATATTAAGTTTCTTTTGATCAAACAAATACTTCAAACTCTTATGATCGTTGAACACTTCAGATATATGATAACGTGAAATCATATATATATAATGATGTACTTTTCTACTAATCGGCAACCTTTTTCACTCCGAATTCGGATATTTCCACACTATTTGCCCATTATTTTGCAGGTATTGAAAGTCCATGCTCAAATGGAGCAAGATAAAGAAAAGAAGCATTTACAGGTGAAAACCAAGTGAAAATCAGGCCAAAAAGCAGCAAAAACGAGTTCTGCTGATGTGACGATCGTCACAAGGGTGTGACGACCGTCACAGGTCCATGACGACCGTCATGCAGTTAAAATACAGTTTTTTGCACGTGCTGTCAAATTATGAAAGTGCCAAAGAGAAGTGGTACCACTAACTCCTATATTCTCTGATATCACTCCCACTTCCCGAAGAAATAAACCGTGGAATATCTCATCTATAAAAGGAGGTAGCTGGTACCAGAAAAAGGGAGCCGCATTGAAGAAACGAAGTGCTGCCAATTTACTTTCAGAGCAATTATTCAAATTCCCATTTTTCTTATCGTTGTTTTATTTCCTTTTTCTTTCCTTCCTTGCAATTGTTGTTTTACTTCCCATTTCTATTCTGTACGAGTAATTGGCATAAAGACAAAATCCTGCCGCCATTGTGGAGGATTTCCCAAAAGCCAAATCGAATTATTTACAGGTCTCTATTCTAATCGTAATTGAATTGTTATTTCCTATTGTAATGAATATTATTATTTTCTGCCATTATTTACGTTCTGTTTATTTATATTTAATGTCTGGCTAAATCTTAAGTAATCGGTATGTAATAAATAATCTGATGGGATTCAATAATTAACCGGTGTATATCTACCTTTTCAAAAACTTATTTATGGCTTCAGTTTTTAAATTTGACTTTTCTAAATAAACCTTCGTCGCGACAGCGAGAAATTATTTACAGTAGTTTTGCCACGACAGTGG